GATGACCCATACAAAGGGAGAATGTCGATCGAAGTGTTTCTGCAGGCTGTTTTCATCAAGTGTGATTAAAAAAAAAGTCATTAAGACATTTTTTTACCATTAGAAGCTGGTTATAGTCACACACTTTTGCCACACAGTTGTGTTCAAACTCCTTTAAAAGCGATTTTTGCACAATAGGTCCACTTTAAGCATAGATTAACTCTTATTTTTGCAGACTATCACAAATATGTAGGTCTCCGGAGAACGCTTAAACACAAGAAGCATGCAGAGAAATGATCTAAAATCCCACTGCTATGAGCATGACTTCATCGTGCAATGTAATTGTAAATATGAATTACATGTTTAAGATCTTCTCGGCAGTCTAGAGAGGCTCCTGGGACCCCTGAAGACATTAATAATTCAAAAAGAAATACTATAACAGTCTGCAACAGTGGTTTGGTTTCAGGAGAAAGGATCAAGATTGGACATTAAGGTCAGGCGGTGTAAAACCTGTTCAGCAAATAGCGTAAATTAACTATTAATAGCATTTCTTTTAATACTTGTTGGAAAATGTGGTAATGTTTAATCTGTGTCTTTAAATGTGTCTTTTTTTGTTTTGTTTTTTTATAGAATAATTGTAGTCTTACACATTTGCCTTTAGTCTGGTTTTCTTAAACATCTTGTCACAACTCAAAGATGACGAAGGAACCCAAGTGCAAGTGACAGTTTTATTAACGCACACAAAGATAACACAGAGAGACTGGGTGGCTGGAAGTCGAAGGTCATAGAAGCAAATATTCACAGTAAACAGAGAATCAAGAGTTCATCAGGAAGAACCTCAATCTCCGTCAACAGAGCGTATCAAAAGTTCATCGGGGAGCACTCCAATCTCCGTCAACAGAGCGAATCAAAAGATCATCGGAGGAGAAACTTCAACCAGCACACTAACCAGCGAACTCAACGGGGAGAGCCTGACAAAGGACACAGAGACAAGTGAGGACAACGAACTGACAAGGTGAGACAGGAACGCTGAACATTTATAGCCACAGTAAATGCGCTACACCTGGAGCGCAATAATCAGCTGAGCGGTGCTAGGCGACCGATGACCATGATCATGTGACCGCCCAGCTGATAACATGAAAACAACAACAACACCGACAGCCACGCGACTCACACAAACACAGAGACAAACGCAGACACACACCGCAAACACAAATAAACAATTCGCACCACGCAGACACATCATAGAAGAGCAGATAGATCCACAACCGTGACATTACCCTCTCCCCTAGGGACGCCTCCTGGCGTCCCCAGACGAGCCTACCTGGCGATTGTAATCATCGATAAGAGAGTGATCCAGTATGTCCCCGGCCGGAACCCAACTTCTCTCCTCAGGACCGTAACCTTCCCAATCCACCAAGTACTGAAATCCTCGTCCCCTCCGTCTAGAGTCCAGAATGCGCTTAACCGAATAAGCAGTCTCCCCATCTACGAGGCGCGGCGGGGGGGGAACTGGTGTGTGCGGATTAATTGCCGTATGAAAAACGGGCTTTATTTTAGATACATGAAACACGGGATGAATTCTCCTGTACGCTGGAGGTAATTTGAGGCGGACTGCCACAGGATTAATGATTTTAGTGACAGTAAAAGGGCCAATAAATTTAGGAGCTAACTTATTACAAACGGTGCGGAGAGGAATGTTTTTAGATGAAAGCCACACTTTTTGACCGACAACGTAAACGGGAGGCTTAGACCGGTGGCGATCGGCTTTAGCCTTAGTGCGCTCCCCCACCTGGAGGAGGGTCTGTCTGGCCCTGTTCCAGGTGCGGCGGCACCTCTGGACAAAGGCGTGAACGGAGGGGACCGCGACTTCGGATTCCAGACTGGGAAAAACTGGTGGCTGGTAACCTAGACTACACTGAAACGGAGAGAGGCCCGTAGCCGACACTGGTAACGAATTATGTGCGTACTCCACCCACGAAAGTTGCTGACTCCAAGAGGAAGGATTCTGCGAAACCAAACATCGCAATGTGCGCTCAAGATCCTGATTGGCTCTCTCGGTCTGACCGTTACTCTGGGGATGAAAACCAGAAGAAAGACTAACAGTAGCCCCCAATAAACGACAGAATTCTCTCCAAAATTTAGAGACAAACTGAGGCCCCCTGTCAGAAACCACGTCTGTCGGGAGGCCATGAATGCGAAAGACGTGATCAATGACAGCAACCGCTGTCTCTCTGGCTGAAGGTAATTTGGGCAGAGGGACAAAATGAGCAGCCTTCGAGAACCTGTCCACCACGGTTAAAACCACCGTGTTGCCGTTAGAAGATGGAAGACCCGTAACAAAATCTAGCGAGATGTGTGACCAGGGTCTCGAAGGTACTGACAGCGGTTGAAGGAGTCCAGCAGGTGGGCGATTGGAAGTCTTAGAAGCGGCACAGACAGAGCAAGCCAAAACAAAATCGCGCACATCACGAGCCATTACTGGCCACCAGAATCTTTGTTTAATAACAAATAATGTGCG